CTGAACTTACGTTGGCCTTGATTTCCGGGTCGACTTTGAACGAGGCGAAGCAAGTCCTGACATCCTGGGGAGATGTCCATTTTTGGCCGGCTATGGTGGCGCAAGGGTCGACAGCCCTCGCGACTGTGGCCAACAGGGTCAAGATCGTGACCACGCGCGGCAACATGTCCGGGCTCAGATGTGGCGGTTCTATGGAGAGGCGAGAGTGCATTCAGGACCGCTCTATATACCTCACCTTTCGACTACGTTTATCAAACGAAGTTGGTAGTATCCGTCTTGTCGGCCAGGGCCATCATCGCGCGCGAAGGATGTGCACGCGTGCACATGGGAGAAAATCCTTGACTTCGTGTTCTCCCTCGCGCTAATCTCGTATACACCAAGCGATAGTGACACGCGACGCGTCAAGGCAATGTGCGTAGCAGCCTCCGTCGGTCTCCTCTCGGATCTGACGTCCTTGATTTGGGCGCGGATTCCCTGGGGGGACGGCGTTGGGTTGCGGTTGTGGGAGGCAGGATGCTTTTCAGCCTGGACGCGACCTGGGTCATCTGTTATCCTATCGGTAGTTCTCTATAGGACGGGTACGGACTGGTAATGCCGGCAGGTCCGCGGTCACCACCCAAATGCCCTAGGCCGTGCAGCTGCACCAGCGCGTCGTCTGAGTCAAGCTCCTGCCGCGTTAGGACACGGACACAATCGTCGGCCATAGTGGAAACACATGGACAGAGGCAAATTTTGTGAAATAGGGCTAGGCCTCAGATGCTAGGATCTGGTTATTATGTTCTGTTATATCCTGCAATTCATGGATAGAGCCACGTTCGAGCCCCACCTTGCATAGCTCATTCTCGAGTATAATATAAACATTCTTAGTTACTAACACATGGTTTACCCCTCGGAGTTCCTAACCTGCGAGGGTGAGGAGAACCGATAGAGGTAGGTCTACGGTTCGGTGTGGTAGAGTCCATCGACTGGCTCGGTGCTCGTGCGGAGCCAGGGCCGTCTGGCGCGGTCCTGCGAATCTCTTGCGCCCCCGGATTGAAGATCGTACCAGGCGAACCGGCACAGACCCTGTTTCGGCTGTAGCACAGGCCCCCATGTAGCAGTAGTCCTGCGGGCCTTTATAAACAAGCGGGAAAAAAACAGAGTTCCTAGCCTAGTTATTAACCAGTTATTAACCAGGTTAGTAACTCTCAGTTAGTAATTTCTCCCGGAATAGTAATATAGGCGCCGATCGCGCTATCCCGAACCTCCCACCATCCGGCGGCAAGTCATGCAGTACAGTCCCAATCTATCGCTCTCGACAGAATATTGTACACAGAACCCCAGATGCACAATGATAGGCGGCAGAGGTTTGACATTGTCGGGACTGTGCAGCGCTAATACCTCGGCTGATTGCAGGGCCTGATGGCGACGAAGCTGTTTACCCCGCACGGCGGCCTGCTCGAACGGCGCGCTTGACCTTCGACCTCCGAGTCAACTGGCTTACTGTGCGGGCCCGTCATCGTCTCCGTGCAAGGCGCAACAGTCTTTGTGGCGTGCGACCATCAGAAGGCACAGATAATCAGAAGGATTCGCTGCTCACTGGATCTGATCCAGTCCGCGACTTAGGCTGCTATGGCTGTGTGGTACTAGCCCCGTTTCCTAATTTGCCGAGGTAATACATAGCTGAAAGGCCGGATTTTGATGCAGGTTGACGTGCGCCGACTCGCACCAAGCAGCGGCTTTGTCAGTGCGCCTCGTACGCATTGCTACGATGTTCGGCGTCGTACACCGACAATGAACGCGTTCCCGCCGCTCGACACGCGGGCAGATCACTTGACAAATACTCAGCCTTGACCTGTAGCACTCAGAACAACTTGACTTTCCCAACTCGAGGTTCATTGCTAAGCTTTTGTTAGCTGACGCAGCGCACTCGCAGGGGTGACGGCCCCCGACATCGGTCATCCCTGCTCCAGGATGAGCGCTGCGCGGCCGATGAGTGGTTGCGCTCAACAGCGTTGCAGCTGTATCGTCATCCAGCTGTTCACACACTTGTTTTCATGTCAATCTGCAGTGGTCAGCGCCGCGATGCTTACGTGACTGAGCGGACCAGCAAGTTCTTGATCTCTTCGGGGGCCTTGGCGAGCCACAATGCTGGTGGGTATATCCAGATCTTTGAGATGTATTTAAGGAGACGTCGGCCCCACGTAGAGATTCCAGCAGCTCCCCCGAAGTCTACAGTGCTCTGCTGTCCACGTCTCTCCCGCCTCTTGTGCACCAACTATGTCTCACGGCAAACAGTTCACTCTTTTCTCTCACAAGAGAGGCCCGAACGGATGGTACGCATCCTCGTCTCAAGACTTAAGGTGATATGGCCCCGCTGATCGTGTTTGCATTATTATAGGAAGGTCGCCTTGGTCCTTGAGGAACTTGGCTTGACCTACGAGTCGGTATATCTCGACTTCCAGAAGAGCGAACAGAAGGCTCCCGAGTTCATCAAGTACAACCCGAACGGGCGTATCCCTGCGCTGATTGACCACAGCAACAGTGACTTCATCGTCTGGTGGATCTCCTTAATCCCCTCACGCATGTCGGCTCGCTGATTTGCGCGCCACAGGGAGTCCAATGCTATCATGCAGTACATTGTCGACAAGTACGACAAGGAGCACAAGCTGTCGATCGCGCCTGGCACTGACGAGTACTACACTCAGCTCCAATGGCTCTATTTCCAGGCATCTGGCCAAGGCCCGTACTTTGGCCAGGCCGGCTGGTTCACGTTCTACCACCCGGAGAAGGTCCCGAGCGCGATAGAGCGGTACAAGAACGAGATTAAGCGTGTTTTTGGTGTCCTGGAGAGCGTGCTGTCGACGCGGGAATGGCTCGTCGACGGCAGACTAACCGTCGCGGACCTTTCCCTTGTACCGTAAGTATAATTGATTGAGCTGATGAGACGCTGGTTGCTTATGGGTTATATTCGCAGGTGGAATCACCTTACTACTCCGCATCTCGAGGACGTTGACTTTGAGAAGGAGTTCCCAGCCACCGCCAAATGGCATAACAAGCTCCTCAAGCGCCCAGCCGTCGAGAAGGTCTGGGCGGAGCGCACCAGGCTGCTAGCCCAGCCGTGAACCAGGAGCAGGATCGTGTTTCTCGGGACTGTGGTACACTAATCCGTCCAATGGGATCAATATACGTATGTTTATGCTCATTTCTATGTGATACCAATACAACTAGGTGCCATCAGAGACTGTGCCGTCGATTGTACAGCCGGCCCTGAAGATTATGGAGTTTTTCCGCTCTCTTGTCCGCCCGGCTGCTGCGCGGGACGGAGCAGGGGCTGCTGGCGCTGAGGGGCCTATGGGTCTCGCGTACGAGACTGCAGCGCTCTCGCGCTCGAGCCCTACGATGCGCGAGCTCCAACCTATGTCGGCGGAACATGCGCGCGCGTGGGTACGCTTCTGGAAGGCGAAGGGGTTCATTGCGTAAGTGAGGGGTGAGGCAGGTGCATAGGGATGGCCCCTCAGTACTCAGTAATGATGAGTAATGATGTTGAGACGTTGAGAATCAAGATCAGAGAATATATGGAGACTTGAGAGCACAAAACTTCGAGATCTTATGCTTCACGACGCCCACGAAGAACTCTTTCATGCCTCGGCGCGGTGAAGGAAGTACTGTCCTGATTAGCTGTAGCCATCAAAAAGTGCTATTTCGCCGTCAGACATACAAACTAAATCAATATGGACATCTGTAGCCGAAAACTCACTTTGTAAGTTGCAGCGCAAGATGAGAGGCGCGGGCCACGCCGGCGAGAGTGCTTTCTGCGAAG